ACCATGACTTGGGAGGCAGCTGTTACCTCTGTCTCTCAGCTATGGAACCTGAGGCTCAAGGTGGCCAAGTAACTCGCCCAACCAAGGTGTCAGATCTGGTCAAGCGGGGTATTTTGTGATTTACTGCATGTCACGCTCAACACCAAACACTTCACTGACCTTCCCTGGATCTGATGCTTGCAAGTCAGCCCAGGATGACTTGCGTATGCCTTGCTCTCCCACTCCCTCCAGGGATGCTCATGAGGCGAGTGCTAAGGTCGCCATCTTCCTCTCGTGTGCACACCAACTCCAGTCCTCAGAGAAGTCTGCTGAATAGCCACTGGGTGCCCTTTGACCCCACAGAAATGGGAGCTTCATAAATAAGAGCAGGTTCATAAACCTGCTCATGCTTGCTTTAAAAATGGAATCTTATGTAGTTTTCATTGGACCTAATAATTATATAGCTAAGGTTGCTGCTGATTTTGTCTTTATTTTTCCCATTTCAGTACTTCCGAGGCAGAGGGTAGAAAGCAGTACCTGTAGAGCCAAGGACTGGCTTATTTGATAAAATGAGTTGCTGATAAACTTTGCAGAAACACTTCTTCCAGGGATGCTTACTCCTGATTCTGCTGAGGTGGCGGAGCCGTACGATCTTACCTATCATCTGTTGGTGGAAAACTTGAGCTATGAGAGTCTGGTTCCACGTGAATAAAGTTAGGGCTCCCACTGAATTGGGCGATGACGCTCAGAATTTAGGCGAACTCCTTGGGCAACTATAAAATTGGGCCATGGTTGCCAGTAAGGTAGTTTCTATAGAAAATGACTACTTTCTATGGCACCGGTGTGAGTGTGAAGAGAAAGCTTTTCAGCAAACATCTTACACACGCACTCGTCAGGCGCTTGCCACCTCCAGGGCGCTTGTCCAGAAGGACTCTTATTTCCTTCAACCATGTCCTACCAACTAGATTTTCTCTGTACTCCCTGACTGATTTATTAGACCACTGCTTCCGTGCAGAACTCTAGCTGGCAGCCCACGGCGGGAAGCCGCCCCGCCCATCCACTCACAAGCATAGCGAGCCGAAAATGAAGTCTGTCCTCAAATACTCTGTTGAAGAAAAACTCCTGTGAGTGACTTTCACTGGGTTTTGCTGGAGCCAAATCTTGCTTTCTGGTGTCATAATTGCCATTAACAGAGAATGATGGCCATGTCAGTAGAGGTGCGCCCCATTGCATGAGGGCCTCCCTCACTACATCCCCGTGGTAAGGAGACCGTGCGGGAGCTCAGCGCCCAGCTGTTACAGAGTCCCCGTGGGACGCATGAACAGTGTCTCTCCCCGTTGCCGGAAGAACACCTGCAGGATTTGCAACGTCCTTCCTCCTTTTGGTAAGAGCGCTGTGGTCGTCCTTAGGGCCTCTGAACACACACTGTGCTCCCTCTCCTTAGCCCTTCCTTCTTGGCACTTGCTCTGGAAACCAAAAAGTGGGTGGAATAGGTCTCACAGAAACCGGATGGCATAGAAACTCCACTTAAGGGGGTGGCTGGCTGTGACTAGGGCTCTGGAGGAGCTTTTCTGTTTTATACTCAGCTAGGGCCCCATAGCTGCCTTTGGTAATGTGTTGAGGCTGGCCTGCACAAGTTAAGTATGGCCTTACCTGCGATGTCCCTCACCCCACCTCAGCTAGCACGGGACCCTGTGGTTGCTTGGGAGGGTGAGTCTGGCCCACCGCTGTGGCAGCTTGGGCTTGGTGGTCCTTGGGATGCTTGCCTGGGACAGTCACGCTCTCTCTTTTCAGGAACACGAGGTTGTGAACTCTTCCTCTGAATCTCCGGGAAAGTTAGAGTGAGGCTCAGGAAAAATTACGCCTGCTATTCACATTTTATCACATCTCACGGCAGGGAAGGTGTCATGATTACTGGTGAGGGAACTGGCGGCTCAGAGTGGTACAGTAACTGGCCCTGCCTTACACAGGGTGGGGCACACCTGAAGCGTGAATTATCCCCAAGATGACACAAATACATTAACAATCTAACATCCTAACAACTGATGTAACAATACAGACTAGGTCTCATTTATAAGTTCAAATTGGTCACAAATCATTCGGAGCTGTTTTCAGATTGTCTGTACCACCATTTAATGATACACCTGTGGTCTCTTTCCAAGTGTACCCTGCTTTGTAGAAATTTTGATTATTTTATTAGAATTCTCATGCCTGGTCAAAACCTCTACTACAGCTGTTCCGGGAAAACTGTTACACGCCTGCATTTCCGCTTGCTTCCCTTTCTTCCCGCTGGGTCTCTGACCTTTCCAGCTGCCTGCCTGGTCTTCAGGTGTGTCCCTTTCTTTAATCGCTTCCTGTCATCTCTCACATTCCCGATGTTCAGTTCTGGATCCCTCAGGAAGGGAGGGCAGAGCACTCTTTCTCATTTGCTGCACAATCACAGGGGCTGGTCGTAGAGCCATGTGACCAATGAGTGAGTAACCCCACAAACGTTCCACGGACAAACAGATGATTCTCCTGTGCAGTCTAACTGCTCAGTCCAGGGCATCCCTACTTCTTTTGGAATTGCGTCTGAAATCTACGGTATCATATTGTTAAGGTCCTCGGTGAGTTTCTGGTTCCCAATGGCAGACTAAAATACGTGCTCCGATCTTACTTCTCACCCCAAACTTCTGGAATTGATAGACAAGGTATTTTTAAAATCCATAACTGAACTATAAAACAAAAAGTGAGTGAGCCCTGTTTGAGGCAGAAATTCTGGAAGCATAAAAAAATGAATGGAATAGACCCCATAAAAGAAACAGATCAGAATATACACAGAAGGAAAGAATTTTCCTACAGGAGTGGGGTTAAAATCCAAGCATGCTCTACATCTGAAAACAGTGAACTGGGAGAGCAGGAAGAAAGGAGGGGCAGGTAAGAGGCCGGGAACCTGGCTCGGGGGTTTCCCTGCCCTCGGCAAGCAGCGCCGGCCAGGGAAGCGAGGAGTGCAGAGGGCTGGAGCTGGAGACACGAGGTACCCCAAGGCCAGCAGCCTAGCAGCCCAGCTACCAGGACATTTTCCCCCGGGGGGCGTCCTACTCCTTCTTCCGCCTTGTGGAGAACAGAATGGGGTGCAAACTGCTCAAAGGCATGTGTCTTCTTCTCCCTCCCCTCAAAAGTGGGCAAGCAGAGCCAGCCACCCGACTAGCAGGGAAATTCAGTTACAGAACTTGGCACATCGTTAAGAATCACTGTACATTTTACGAATGCCAACACTGGGAAAGGGAGTCACAAAGCGCAGACCATCAGAAGAGTTTAAATGAGGAAACACATTTACTGACGGATCAAAACTGGACTGTGCAATACCTTGGCTATCAGAGACACCAGCAGACACTGCATCCATAAAATAATGAACACAAGATGCACATTGATATTTTGATTTTTGAATTAAAAATATGAGTGATATGCTGAAAGGCCAAATAAATAACAATCGACAAGTTAGAAGAGCCAAGCAAAGGATTATCCCAGAGTGTGATACAGGGGATGGGCAATATGAAGAAAACAGCTTAAAGAAAAAAGAGAGAAAGAGAACCCATCAGACTCAATAGTTTTCAAAGTGATACTCTAAGAAGCAAAAATACTGAGGATGGCGGAGAGGTAACATTCAAAGAAATATGAATCAAACATTTCCCAGACAAGGAAAGGTCCGCCTCAATTCACAGTAGTAAAAGCATGTCACACACTGATATCTCTGTGAGGCCATTTCTTCATTCACTGAGAGAAGAATTGACCCTGAGAGCTGCAAAATGTCATTAGAAACCAAATGTAGTGCAAAAAAAAAAAAAAAAGTATGATTAAACTCAGGGTTTTTTATTTGGGGTCGATACCGGGGATGGAATTCAGGGTGCTAACACTGAGTGATACCCTCAGCCCCTTTTCTATTTTGAGACAGGGCACTGCCAAGTTGCTAAACTGTCCAGACTGGGTTTAAACTAACGAACCTCCTGCCGAAGCCTCCCAGAGTGCTGGGATTACAGCCACATGCCACGCTCTTGGATCAAGCTCGGTTTGTGCTGACAATGAGATGAGAGCTAAATTAGATGAGATTTAAAACAAAGTTTTTTGCTGGGCTTATAAATTAGCTCTAAAGATGCCTACTCCTATTAGGACCCACAGGCCTCTCGCCTGAAACCTCCTCTGGCCACATCTCCTAGTACTTGTCCTTAGTCTTGCGCTTGCCGGTCTCTCTCCCACTCCCGCTAGACTGCAGGCTGCCCTAGAGCGGTGAGAGCGCCAGGCCTTCGCTTTGTGCCCTGCCTGGAGCTTCTAGGGACACCCGTTAGGGAAGTATCTCCAGGAGGGGGAAGGAGCTGAAGCCTTAGCCCCTGGTACTGATTATCTGTGGGACAGTTTCCTCGGCCGGGGAGAGGGAAGAGGGTGGGTAGAAACTGCTGGGGCGTGACACAAGGAGGGATGTGTGGGTGAGGGTGGGCACGGCGGGAGGCGCCATCTGGAGACGCGCACACTGCTGTTCGGGCACCCTCGGGGTCTCTCCTATGTCCTCAGCACAGCAGCGGCAAGAGGCCACGCAGAGACAGAAACACAGCCATTTCAGGAATTATCCTACTCTGCGGAAGTACCCGAGAGAGATGTGGCCTGTCCCCGAGCACACAAACCTCTAGTGAGCCCAGGGGCCCAGATCCAGTCCAGAGAATCTGCTCCTCTCAGCTGGTCAAAAGCTACGCACTACTGTCTTGCAGAGTAAAGACTGATGACAACTTTTATTAAACTCTTACTGTGTGTCAGACGCCTAGCTCTGAATCTAATTTGCCCACAGAAGAACCATATTAAGAAACAGTATTATTTCCTCCCACTTTTCAGTAAAGAAACTGAGGCAGAGCCGTAGCACTGAACAGTGATGGATAACCCACCTGAACCCCCGAAAGGACATGGCACGGGGGTGGGAGGAGTGCCTTGGAATTTCCCGTCAGTTCTTTTGTCATTCTCCCAACCTGCAGTGTCCTTCCCCAAGTTGATACCTTGCAGAGGAATGCTCTTCAAGGCCTGTGCAGACGCCGGTCCGACCTTCCGGGGAGAGTAAGTCACTCTGTCCTCTCTTCTCATGCTTGTTTGGACCTCCGGTTGAACAGTTTTGCAATCAGACTTCTATTACAATGTTGCACAAAATTAACTGCTCGTGGGAAAAGACCGCATTTTCCCACATTCCTGAGGATCTAAAGCCGGGGCTGGGAGCGTGTAGGCTTAGTCACAGTCTGGGACGGAAGGAAGTCTCCTGAACGTGCTTGTGAGATGGCCCCTTCTGTGGCCGAAGCCCAGAGACGCTGTGAGCCCTGACACTCGCTGCAGCGATGACGCCTGAGCCGCCCTGGACGGTGCCAGGCTGAGGGGGGACACAGAGCCCCCCGTTCTCCCCTTAAATGTTTTTCAGTGGTTCCGTGGGCCAAAAAATCTACCACTTGTTGTCAAGGCTTTACCCCAAGAAAAATCTCTTTTGAGTACAGCCAGGAAGCAAGACTCTTGGTCAGTGAAGGTGGTTTTGCGCTGGAAAGACCCGCTGGGACCTTGGGCACCGGAGGCAGAAGGTGGAGCAGGGACGTAGACAGAGGAGTTGTCCATTCTTATGGGCCTCGGGCGGGTGGGGGCCCAGCTCGGCTTGTGGATTCCGGGATTGTTTCTCCAGAGAGATTGCACAGCTTCCATTAGATTCTGAGAACGGGCCTGGGGTTCCAGAGAGAACAGCTGGAAGCTGGCTGTTGGTAGCCCAGCCTCCCTGACCTCCTAGTCTGGCTCAGAAGGACTGGGGAGGTCCAGGCAAAGGTGAAGAATGCCGGGTATCACAATCAGCTGCCAGGGGTCACGAGGTCAAACCCTTTGTTTTGTAGATTAGGAAATCAAGGCCCAGGGGGTAGAGTAACCCGATACTTTGGTGTCAGCCAGGAGCTCCCTGGCCAGAAAGTGACCCTCCCGTAAGCTATCTCTGCAGCTTCACAGTTTGTTCATTAAACTGGAGATAAGGAGTGGCCAGGACAGCGCCTGCTATCTGACTGTTTGGGAAACTATGGGCCACTGCGTTGCTAAAACTTGGCCTTTGGAATCAGAGATAGGAGAAGGAAAACATGCCTCCGGCGATATGCGAAATGTATCATTTTTTTAGTCTCAGGCGTAAAAACCTTAATGTGCTAATCTAAGCACCTCGGTAACTGGTTCGCTTCCGTCACGGTTGCTGAGCACCCACCGGAAGCTCCCCGGGGCACTGACCAGAGCGAGGTGCAAGGCCCTGCCACGAAGGGGCAACACCTTCTGGTGATGATGGAAGAGATCTCACGGCAGGGGCAACTGGCTGCTCTGAACGAGGGCTGGGTAGAGGGCTTCCTGCTCTTAGAAGAGCTGATAGTGTCCCGGTAAATGAGCAGATACAAGACCACTTGGTCCGCAAGGTGATACATCTTGGACAGGAAGGCTCGGGTATAGCTCCGGGCCTGCCAGTGTCCTCTGTGGGGTCTGGACCACACTAACGGTGGTGGATATCCTTGGAGACCTTCCACTGCTGCTACCAGAGTCATGGAATCACAGAACTGCATGTGCCAAAGAGAGCAGCGTGGCAACCGGGACACTGGTGCGTAGCTCCTGCACTGGAGAGGCTTCATCTACACAGCTGCCCCTCAGGCGGCTCTGGAATTGAGCAAGGTCACAGGGCTGCAAGCCCATAGAACTGGGACTTGAACTTGGGTTTTCTGACCACCCCCTCTGGCTCCATCATGCTCTTGTGATGTGATGCCATAACTTCTGCCTTTGCCCCTTTTAGGCTAAAACCAAATTTGGCTGGAGAAATCTGCTAAGCGAGGCAACATGTTAAGTGTTATAAATTTCAACGGAAAAGTGAAGTGGTGGGAAACATCTTAGAAGGGAGTATTTCTTTTGGCCCTCTCTTACACTTGATAAGACAGAGGCAGCTTGCTAATGAGAAAAAGGATGGTTTGCATGTCAGACATCCCCAAAACTATAGGATCTGATGGCCCACAGTGGGCTTCCAGTCCGAAAATGCTACTTGGACCTCCCATCGTAGACCGACTACCTTTAAGGATCAGGATCTAGATGGCCTGTAAGGCAGTCACTGTTGGCCCTATCTCACATAAAGTCTCCCGCGAACATCACAAATCAAATAAATTGGGAGACAAGAGGCACCATCAGAATGGCAAAGATGAAAGGTCAAAGGACACTGCAGAAATTGCCCAGGCTCCAGCCTGCTGGTGGTGGCCCATTAGCCACTGTAAAGACAGGGTCATTTTCTCTGTGGGAGGACTGTTAGAAGCCCTCAAAGTGAGTAAGAAAGACCCAGCCTTGCCTGATGGGGTCTAAGAGCTTTGGTTCTGCATGCTCCTGCAAAATAGGGGTCCAGGCAGCACCTGCTCTTCACGCACTGTCAACAGTCTTCCCTGTGTGGTTGGATCTCCAAGGCTCAGGTCTCTCAGTCAGTGGTCCCTCCCGGGCATTTCATCAATCCACACAGAGCATGAGCCAGGGACTACAGGGTGGACAGGACACTTGCCCTTAAAGTGGGCTGGCCCAAGCATATTCATCCATCCCAGTCTCCCTAGTTGGTGCCTCTAATTCTCCTGCTCTAGAACAAGAAGTCCTCAGGGCGTGACTTGGAAGCTTGCTGGGAAGAGTGCCTAGAACCTCTACTGTCATGACCTTAGCAGAGCACAGGATGTAAGCACCAGTAAACTTCTTTGCTTTTAAGTGACTATGGAAAAGGGGCCCTATGTCCCTGGACCTCACACATTTGGTTCATTTTTTAAAGCACAGGACTGTGCTATTAGAAGACCTCAGCATCTCTTTCTAGTTCTCATAACCTGAATCTCTTTTTTTTTTGGTTTTTCTCCAGTACCGGGAACCAAACTCATGACCTTGCGCTTGCCAAGCAGGCGCTTGCCGCTGAGCTAAATCCCCAGCCCCAACCTGAATTTCTTCATCACAGTTCTTGGTGACCTCTGCCTGATATTGTAGAGAGTCGTGGCTATTTTATGATGCCCTGGCTGATGCCACCTTCACCTTGTTTATTTTACTGCTTCTCATATCTAGAGACAGAAGTGAATATAGTACAAGGTCCTTAACAAATGTTTAATAAATCCCTTCCATACATTAAACATTTTGTATATATATATGTGTGTATATATACATATGTGTGTGTATACATACATATATATATATGTATATATATAGTTCCTTGGAAGTCAAAAATCAAGAGCACTGGGCCTACAGCAGGGAAGAGATGGCTCTGACTCAAAGAGGAAAAGCCAACTCTTGGTGGCTGTGGAGGGCAGGAAGACACGGAAGATCAGAGAGAAATGGGGGAGGAAGCCAGCAGGGAGGATTCTTGCGGGTCAGTGAGGACTCAGTCTGAGTGGAGAGAGCCAAGAACAAGCCCGTGTGCAGGTAGGTTGGAGCCTTACAGCAAGCAGCACCAAGGAAGCCTTTCCAGCAGAGGATGGGTGTGCCAAGACTGAGTCTTAAGGCAGTCTGGCAGCAGTGGTCAGGAGCGCGTGGAAGGGAGACTCGGAGAAAGCACCGTAGTGCACTCACAGGACGGGTTTGTGGGGGACACATGAAGGCCTGGATGCTGCTCTAGAAATGGGGCCCGTGTGAGGGAGAAGACAGACCTCAGCCTTGGGGAGCTCCTTTCTAGAAGGAGAGAGATGAGTTTTAAGCAATACATGACACACTCTGTTATAAAGAGAAAGTTTACAAAAACACATCCAGTTGAGATGGATAAACAATTTTATCTACTGTTTTGACAATAAGCATTTTCTGACATCCTTTCCTCAGATAAAAGACTTCCATGTGACTGACCTCATAAGATCACTTAGCGTCACACATACAAAAAAATTTGTGGAAAGAACACAAGGATAAGCTCCCATTGCAGGGACAGGAGAGGAATATGGCTAGAGAAGGCAGGGGAAAGAGTATAGTGAAGACACCAAGAGTGTGAAGTCGAGAGACTGGGCTTGGGGAGGAGGTCAGAGGATGTTGACAGATGTTCCCGGAGGTGGTGGTGGGATGTCTAAGTGGCATAGTGCACTCAGCAGTGGGGGCTACAGATGAGGAAAGGGGGTCAAGGGTGGCATGGAGGAGGTGCCAGCACAGAAGGAGAGCAGCAGGTGGGGAAGTGCTTGAGCTGGGGAGATGATGGTGTTTGGGCCTGGGAGTTTGAAAGAGGAATTAGAACAGGTGTAGGAGAATACAAAGAAGAGCCAGGACAAAAGGAAAAGCTTGTCACAAGAGCCACAGGTGAACAGATAAAAGAAGGAGGAGTGGCCAGATGGGTCTAACGCCACAGAGTGAAATTGTGAAGGAGTGCAGTGGGGGAAGGGTACGGAGGTGGCAGCAGAGAGTCATGTGTCACCTCCGAGAGACAGGTGTCACTGGTGTGCTGAGGCAGAAGCCAGAGGATGAAAGGATATGGGTCAAAAGAAAATGAACACAGTGAAAATACATTAATTATTTTGAAAAAACAAAGAAGAAAGAGTCTGCCAAGCGGAGGGGGAGAGGTCAGAGATGTACAGGACATGGTCAGAAAAGCTATGGTAGATGTTTAAATTTAAAAATAACTATCACAGTAAAAGCCACATTGCCATGAATCCCCCTCCAACCCCCCTTCGCTTCAAGCCCACTTACCCCATCATTCTCGCCACTTTCTGACACAGTTCTGGAGTCCTCTTTTCTGAATGTCTTCAGTTGTGCCGTCCCAGCTGGGTCAACGTCCTGAACTGATTCAAAACGTCCCCTTTTCACCGTCATTTTGGATTTTGGAAGAGCCAGAAATTATATGGTGCCATTTCCAGTGACTAAGGTGGATGAGGAGACACTTGTCATAGTTTTGACAGAAATTGCCATAAGCAGTTGTTCAGTGTGGTATGATCAAAAAACAAGGCGAGGAGCTGGGAATGTAGCTCAGCGGCACAGCGCCTGCCTGGTAAGGGTGAGATCCTGAGTTTGATTCTCAGCACCAAAAAAAAAAAAAAAAAAAAAAAAAAAAAAAACCACCCAAGGTGAATATTTAAATTTGAAATAA